TTGTATAATCTGATGATTTGTCCTAAAAAATCTTTGCAACTGTATGCAGTCCGGTTATCTGGTTTGTAGCCGTGCTATTCCTCTTGACCAATACTCATGGTAACGCTCATTGCTTAACCGCGCAAAAACATATCTATGCAACAAAATTAAATGACATTTGTTATCATTTGAAACAGGACTACGTTCTTACCTCTGGTTACCGTTCATTCCGCTAGTTGTAAGTACAACAAACTCTTAAAACATTTCTTGGATTTTTTGTTCTTTTGCCGCCTTTTTTTTTAGTGAATGTAAATCTTTTCAGGTGGCTCTGATAGTTGGAACAAAGCTTCAAGTGATTATAACCAAAATGGGTCTAAGAATCCAAGAGAGAGGCGACGTGGTGATAGGCACTCCGGTGGTTAAGCCCGGTGATGATCTATTCTGGTTTGGCAAGCCAAGATTAGTCCTATTTCTTATCCATTTGGTTCTTTTCACGGTAGATTTCAATCTTCTCCTCCGCTCTCTTTATCCTCTTCCTGTTTTTCTATCCTAAACTCACGAGTGCACAAAAAACAATTCACTTTGCAGAATGCATTTCAACTTGCCTTCTTTGCTTGGAGTACGGTAAGAGAGATCCATTCCACAAACATTGCAGTTTTTCTTCTTTTTTTGAGGCAATGCTAATTGTTATCTCATGATTGTTTTTGGTATCTTCAGTATGAATTCAAGCTCAGGAATTGTTTCCATAAAAGAACTGAAGATTTGGTCATTAGAATTGTAGTTGGGTAAGCTAACATTAACTTGGCTCTTGATTCTGAGAATATCACAGTAAAAAGGAATTGGGTACAGATTACAACCTTTGTTTCCTTTTACTATCAATCTTGCAGAGTTGTTGTACAGATACTTTGCAGCTATGTGACTCTTCCACTCCATGCTCTTGTCACTCAGGTACTACACAAGAGTGACATCAATCCCGGCTTTTCTATAATGTTCTTGTTTTTTTTTTTTTTTCCTGACATAGTGTTTGATGGAATGTGCGTAGATGGGTACTAACATGAAGTCAACGGTATTCAACGAAAATGTAGCCACGGCGATAGAGAAGTGGCATCACACAGCAAAGAAGGAGACGAAACATGGAAGACACTCTGAATCAAACACACCTTACTCTAGCCGTCCAACCACACCAACTCATGGCTCATCTCCGACCCATCTCCTTCACAATCACAAGAACCGACACTCTGATCGTCATGACGACCACCAGTTTTGGGATCCTGAGTCTCAACACCAAGAAGCCGGATCTTCCACACATTCTCAAAGCTCGGAAAAGAAGCCTGTTCTTGCATCCGTGGAACTTCCTCCTATCAAGAACTGATGATTCTTGGTATACATAGCTTGATCTCGTACAGTGGGAATTAATGATTTGAAAACAAAAAAGAACTTGTACATGTATGAGACCTACACCATCTATATGATAAATGAAATAATCACGCTTAGAAGAGTTTCTCGATTACATTTTTAATTCTTGTTCTAACGTCCTGAGACATCGGTGATGGTGACACCATTGATAGATGCTTTAAGGTCACTGTTCTCAGAGGACTCTGCTTCTGAGACACCACCGTTCCTTGTTACAAAAGCAGGCTGTTTCGGTTCTGGAATGTCTGCAATCTCGCTGCTGAGCATCGAACACACTGTAGCAACACTTGGCCTATCGTTAGCAGCTTCTTGCACACACAAAAGACCAATGTGGACGCATTTCCGTAATTCTTTCTCAAAGACTGGATCAAAGATCTCAGGATCTACCAAACCATTAATCTCCCCTTCGTTCCAGACTGACCAGACCTATAAAACAGAGAAACTCATGAGAGCTTGATAACAATCTCAAGAGAATTAAGTTAAGTCACTTAGTAGAGTTAGGAGAGACTTACATAAGCTAAAAGTGTCGAGTTTGAGTTTCTTCTTCCACTGACAATCTCTAAGAGTATCACTCCTAAACTGAAAACATCAGACTTTTCTGAAAACAGTCCTCCCATTGCATATTCCGGTGACATATAGCCGCTGCACAATACATTTTTATCTTCTAAGTTTTCGACTATCTTTTAGGAAAAAAGGTGTAACAAATGGTTAAAATGAAGTCACTTACTATGTTCCAACGACCCTTCTGGTGTTTGCTTCATCTTCATTCCCTGGGAAAATCCTAGCCAGCCCAAAATCAGATATTTTCGGAATCAGATTCTCATCTAACAAGATGTTGCTAGCTTTTAGGTCTCTATGAATGATTCTCAGCCTAGAATCTCTGTGAAGGTACAGAAGACCTCTGCATATTCCATTGACTATGTTAAAACGTGTCTTCCAATCAAGAAGTTTTGCCCTCATTGGGTCTGAACAACACACATTAGCTTATGTTAGTTCACCAAGTGTTAACATCAAAACAGAGTTTTGAAAACAAATGTTGGTGATTAAGTTACCAAACAGATAATAGTCTAAGCTTTTCTTGGGCATGAACTCATAGACTAACATCCTTTCGTCTCCTGCAATGCAACAGCCAAGTAACTTCACCAGATTTCGATGTTGCAGCTTAGAAATCACAACCACTTCATTAACAAGTTCCTCAAGCCCTTGTCCTGATGCTCTTGACAGCCTCTTCACAGCAATCTCTTTCCCTTCTTGCAACTTCCCCTGCAAACAGATACAAAACTCAACAGAAATTCTTGTTGCCATTACCCTTTTAAGTAAGAGTCATACTTACTTTGTAAACAGGACCAAACCCGCCTTGTCCAAGCTTATTCCTCAGAGAGAAATTGTTAGTCGCTGCAGCCAACACTTGAAACTCAAACAACGGTAGCTCTTTCAACTTTCCTTTATCACCACCAGCTAAAGCTTCTACTCTCTCAAAAATCTTCTCTGCATCTGTTCCTTTCTTTCGCTCTGAGAACCAATGCAATACATTATTGAAACTCAAAAACCAAAACACTAATAAACAGCAGACATAAGTTTAGTTTAACTCTGACCTCTCTTCTTCATGACAATCCGACGAGCCAAAAGACCACAAGCTGTCAAAACAAAAATACCACCTGCCAATGATGTTCCGATGATAACAGGTCGCCTGTCCGGTGTTTCTAATAAAGTGGTTGCAGGAAAACACAAAATTAGAAAAGCTACAATCAGTTTAAGTAATGATAGGAGAGAAGTTAAGGAATAATACTTAACTGATTTCTGAATGTGCAAGGCGGATATAAAGATCCATTCCACTAGCAGACAACTCCTGTGAGTCAACTAAGCTTCCATTCCAAATCATGCAGCCATAACCTAATCCATGAGCACAAGCAATACAAGAACACGTCTGCAAACAAGTCCTTAAGCATTCTGGTTCACTAGCTTCGGATCTCCTTGCAAAGTCAGGCAGTTTCATCCGCCTAAGCCTCAGAAACCCATCAGCACTCCCATTGTTGTTCTGTCTTTCACACTGCAATGGGACCTTTCTTATGCATCCACCACTCCAGTTTCCATTGTTCCACTCTATGAGATTCCTTGGCGTAAACCCTCTGATGCAAGAACAAGGTGGGTTTTCCCGGGGATTGCAGGTACCAAACTGGCCACATCTTCTGTAGATATCACACTCTGTTGCTGGAACTTGTAACCCCACCGTCCAGTTTCTCCTAGCCTCACTCCAATCTCTCCTGATCACAGATCCTCTATAATCCATGTAGAAGTATCTTAGAGTTGAATCATTAGCATATGACATGGTGACTGATCCATTGGTATCATCATTAACTATGAATCTGTAAAGAAAGACTCCGGCATACACATCTGGCAAACCGTTAAACATCTGGCCGTTCCATGGACCACTGCGCCACACCGTAGCATTATTATTATCGTTGTTCAAGATGAAGAGCTCTGGATATGCAGCAAGAACAAGTGCAGCAGTGTAGCTTCCCGGCGAAGGATCTGAAGGGCTTTTCCAAGAAGTTACTGTGATGTTCCCTCCTCCGGTTCTTGCGTTTGTTCCTACCAACATATTTGGTAGCCAAGAATCAGTAGGATACTTGAAACTCTCCCAAAGATACTCATCGCTGTTAGCATCTTTCAGCACGAGGTTCCCTGAATCCAAAAGCTCAACTACAGTAGAATTGCCGCGGCCTCGAGTAGTGACAGTGACGTTAGTTGACCATAGAACACGCCTCTGACCATCAGTAACTACGAGGTTTCCATCTTCAGACACCGAGATAACTCCAGAGGAGTCGTTGAGCGGCTTATCTTTGTTAGCGACCCATATCACAGTTTGTTCAGAGACGCTGTTATACCATATACCCGCATACCGACTTGTGGAGTTAACAGGGCTGAAGAAACCGAACCTGAACGTGCGGAAGCTGGAGACTATCGCCTGAGAATCACTGAGGTTGCCGGAAAAGGAAGCTCTCTCCTGAGCCAGACAGACACTTGAGAAGAAGCAAGACAGTGAAAGAACAAGAATAAGAGGACTCATGCTCTTATGAAGTCGCACATAGATTCAGTCAAGACCAGCAACTTCCCATTTGGAGACAGCTTTGGACCTTTGGTTTCTTTTTTCCTGAAAAAAACCAGACACAACAGGTCTAAAATAGAGTAATTCTCACTTCTCAGTATTAGTTGCAGCATTTAAAGGATCGTAGGGTCTTGAGTTAAGTGACGGTGTGAGGGTGTGGTGAGCAAATTCAATTCTCAAGAGAAAAGTCCAAGTATTGTTACTGTCAAGTGTAAAGTCAAAGTGACACTTTTCAAAGACAAAATCATTTCTTCTATTGATTGACCAAATTGGCCCCACCTTTTACTACGTACTTGGTCTTATTCACCTATGAATCTTTTTTTTGTCATCTGAATGATATATTGATTTTCCAAGGTAAATACAAAGATTTAAGCCAGACTTTAGCCAGATTGAAAGCCACAAGAAACCAAAACGGTGCAAACCCACTACTACACCAGAAACCTACTCTAATCCAGACCCCCAAAAAAACCAGGGCAAGATTAGCCAAAAAATGAGGACATCAAGAAGAGGAAGAGACTCTCTCACTTTCAAACACACCATTTAACCAAAGAGGATGATGGGAAGCCACATAAGAATGAAACCTACCATCATTGGTGACACTTTGAGCAATGAGATTAGCTCCTCTATTTGATTCCATTCCTCCTTTCACTACTTTCCAATCCACAAAATCTGATAGTAATAGCAGAATTTCAGAAGCTTCAAACCCAAAAGATGGCCATGCTTGGGGACGGTTTACCACTCCAACAAGAATCACATCCTCAACTTCAAAGATAACTCTCTGAAATCTATGACTCGCCATACTCTCCATAGCCCAGCACAAGGCCAAAAAACTTCCTTCCTCTGCAGATTTTAGATTCACGAGAGTTGTTCTACTGTGAAGTAAGACTAACCCTTTATCATCTCGAGTCACCCAACTTGCTCCCGCCAATTTGTTCCTTTTAGACCAGGACACACCTACATTACACTTGACCCAAAACTTCGGTGGGGCTTTCCACAACACACTTGAGATCACTTCCCCTGCCACATTCTGATCCACAAGATCCCTGGCCAAGACTTTTGTTTCCTCTTCAATCACAGTTTGCGCCAAAAACCATTCTTCCACATCACTCTTGATCTTTTCCACCAGAATACCTGGATCGAAGGGCTTTCCATCAAAAAGTAACAGGTTCCTGTTAGTCCATAACCTCCAAATAACCCAAGGGAAACTTCTTCTAAGTTCCATCGGCCACATTGAGTTCTTACCATTACCCAGCAAATGGTAAATGTTAGTACAACGATCCATTTTCCAGACCAAACGAAGATAGCGGGAAATTACAGAGAGCCCAAACCTGTCTAGCAAAGGAACAGGAGAAAATGACATGATCTATTGATTCTCTGTTCATTCCACAAATCTGACAAGTTTCATCCAACTTCATGCCTCTCGTCACTAGTCTTTCTGCAACCGGAATCGCTCCACACAGCATTTTCCATAAAAATGCTTGGATCTTTGGGTCTGTCTTTAAATCCCAGATTTGCTCTCTCAGTGCCCGCTTCAGCCATCAACACTCCTTTATTCACCTATGAATCACTTCATCTTATGTCAAAAAAAGAATTACTTCATCTTCTACAAATCAAACTCACGTCACTTTCAATCAATGAAATCCAGACATTGACGACAACGTCTGCTATAGAAAAGGGCAAAGTTAGGATCGAGAGAAGATTTTGGGACCTGTAAGAGAAGAATTTGTCAACTGCAGATTTGATCTTGCAGAACAAAAATATGAGCTCACAATTGGTGCAGGTCTCCGCTGTTCCTCAAGTGGATACACATTCCGGCTAACGTCTACGAGCACCGCCGTCACATTCTGCCTCTCGTCTTCAAGAATGGTCCTTTTACGGAGCATCTTTTATAGACAAAATTTGTTTTGGCGTCTTCGAGGCTACTCGTGTTTTCGACCCCATTGATGATTAGCTCATGTTCTTATTCACACTATGCTCAAGCTCAAAGGAAGATTTCGGATTTGGAAAAGCTGTGAAATTCGGATTCTCTGTATTTCAGGGATGATGATGATGATAATATGTTGTT